GATAATGATAAGGTCGCTACCCATTTAGTGGATCAGGAATATATATCCTAGGCACCAGATAAGAACGTTAATCGCATTCGTGATTCTGTACACGAGTTCATACATACAGTATTTGTTTGGGTTCGACTTATTTTCAGTGAATCGTAATCCGACTATCGCAAACCTAAAGATCATTAGTAAACATTGTCAATCACACATGAAAGCATACCACTTGATATTGACTCATTTGTTCAAACAGCGTGTTTGTTTCATTGCAAAGATCTGACAAACAGCACTACGTGTGTTTAAAGAGCGATACTGTGTCAATATCGCACACTTTTGAGGTGTCATCAATCCTAAACCATTCAACACGGCATAGAGACACTCAAGTTCAAGTGTAACAAAATAAATGTACTTATTTACTTTGCGAAGCTAAGCAAATCTCCATGTGTTATGGTTTTCCGGTCACGTTGCGGGAGATCTTCCCAGATTTTCCATTTGCGATCGAGTTTAAACCACGATTGAAAATTAATACTCAGTTATTAGGTGCGCGTTCGGGAATGTTAATTAACAATATTGACCTTTTCCATTGCCTTCTACTCGAATTGTCAAGTCTCCGGCATTTGTAGGTAAGACGCCGTATGATTATAATGTGATGCCTTTGGTGTCACCTTAATAAGGTCCCAAAGTGCTTGAAGAGATGCACCCAGACATACGCCGAACATGACTAATTAGTGTGTCGACCTAGGCGTGATAGAAAACGATTTTAAGACAGTACAGATTTCGGTGTTGAAATATTTTGTTTTGAACGCCAGGTAAAGTGTTTTTTTTCTCAATTTAAACAAACACGCAAAAGCGATGCCCGATGCCGCACTGAGCATCAATGCTTCTGATAATCAAGAATGCCTACAGCGAGCCATTCTTTTGATATCAACTAAGTTCTTAACACATAATATACTAAAATAATCAAGCCATTTTGTTTAGTATAAGATTTGAGTAAAGTGATTCGACAACTTGTTCAACAGGTTATGTTTGTACTCAGGATTGTTTCACCCGTTCAGACATACGGGCTGAATTCGTTTTCGTTTTGCAATCGTTAGAGCAATCCCAAGATGGCTAGTATGACAACGTCATTGTTCTGTTCCTAATCACACAGATACCTAAGAATATGTAACGATTGAACTGCAAATCACAATTTTCGATTCAAGAAATCGATTTTCGATATACAGTTACTCTAATATATTAAACATTTATCGATTACCAGTCTCCAATTAACGTGATTACTCACTCGTTTCCACGTGCCCTGTGTGATCTATACAGCATATTCCTACTGTCGCAATGATTTATGGGTAAATGAATAGCAAAAATCGGGAGGACACGTTTACGTGTCAAACTGATCGGACGAAGAAACGATTGTAAAACGTGAGATCATAAAAAAAAGACATAAACATGAGTATCTCTCATGAGTCTCATATATGGTGAGACTTTAATGCTCGGGACATTTACCTGACAAATAAATATTCTTGTACAAGAATCTATTTTTGAACGAACTGTGATGGAATGAAAAAAGCATGGGTGAGAATAATGATGATTTAAATGCTGTTTTTCTTGGAACTAACGTCTTCCTCCACAGACGTTGAATTTCGTTTAGGTATGATTGAGTTTTACTTGTGTACATATATTCCAAGCAATACTGGCTGAACCAATGACAGATCAAATATTTAAACACTGGATGCAGCACGAATTGCCAATTTGTAAACAGTACATCCTGCAAATTTTCGCCCAACCAATCAAATATTAAACTATTTTTGTCTCTTGGTGCATGAAGAATTGGCAAACGACGATAATTGGTCTACATATTTTACCCGGGAAATGATTTTTAGAGGGAAATTTTTGACTCTAATAACCTATAAATAAAACATTCATGTCGTTATCGTGTTTTATGCTCGATACATTCACTGAAAGATATGTTCACTCCTGACGTGTTTGCTCTGATGAGTTGCTCGTTGTACCTATGTGATGTCAAGCACACTCGTTTTTTATCTCCTGTGTCATGGTTGGGTTTTCAAGCGTGAGCTTAAATAGCTACGAGAAATAAAACAAGAAAAAGTAACGGTAACGAGTTATATAGAACTGCCACTCACGTATTTGTCTCCGATGAACAAAACCGTATACTACATCTACGTAATATTGTGTTGCCGTAATTCATTACAGCAGTATCGTTTAAAAGGTATATAATAATGAAATGTCGGTAATTTCATAGCTGTAAGAATTTATCTTTTTACGTTGGGTTATATTCAGCCAACTCGACCAAACATGTCAAATGATTAATTATCAAAAAATGCAGTGCAATTATGTTTGATATTTTGTATAATGTGATCGTGTTGTGCCAGATAATTTAATTAGTTTACCGTCGACTGATAAAAATAACTATATGAATCGCGAATGTTCACGCCTTTATTTGCTTATAGATTATTATAAAATGAATGACGAAAATAATATTTCGTTAAACTATGTATCGTAATCCGATGAATTTATAAATTACTCCACGTCCCAATTTACTATTATGTTGACAGTCTTTCTACTATGTATTTATACATATAAAGTTTTTATTAAAATGTCTACCTTCGAATGTAAACATGACTATTTCTCTACAACATTTTTTCAGTGTTTCAAAGAAATGGATTGTAGCTCGCGCAAAATTACATTATTGTGAATTGCAACCAATGAAGAAACAGTGTTTACTATTCAAATAGATTATTGCAATTCATTAAGTATTCAATTCATTACGTAACCTATCAATTTTATCATTATATATGTTCTTTTTAAGAGCCTACTCTTCTATGTTAATCATACTGACATCAAATGACCTCTTTCAGGTGACTATAAGAAATTTATGTTCAGCATTGTGTTTCAGAGTGATATAAACGGATGAATACAAAACACCATCAGAGAAAGTAGACCCCTATTTACCACCCTTAAAACCCAATTAAATCACCACACATCTTTCATTGAATTATAACACAAAGAGTGTTACGCGACTTGGCACACTAATTTGGTACAACAAAATAGATCATACACGTTGAAAATAACAGGTGTTTAAAGCGGACATTGCCAAAATAATACTAGTGGGGTATATAGTATTTGACATAGTGGACGTGGTTAACAGAAAAAAATACAGTATGTTCCATATGAAT